AAAAAAAAAAAAAAAGAAGAAAAAGAAAGAAAAAGAGTTGAGAGTAAATTCCAACTAGCCTCAGTCAGTTTCTAGGAGTACCAGTGGAAGTAAACCCTTAAACCGCGTCTGTAGTTTGGTAAGGCACTACGAGGGAATGATGTAAAACTAAGACTGTGACAGTTGTAATGGCTGTGCCGAGGAACACACCACAGAGAGAAGGCAGCATCTGCACGCACACACACACACACACACCTGGACAATCACATTGTTACATGCCTATGTTATATCACTTTTCTTTGTGCAATCACATTGAGGAATAGTCTATTGGTATCGTTGAAGTTCAACACAAAAGAGTAAAAAGGGGTATGACCTGTATAGTGCTACATTCTACCGGGGCTGGGGGCAGGGGTTTGGGGCCAGCTAAAATGTCTCCTCCTATACTAAAATGGGATTGAAAAGGAACACTTCCAAAAAGAAAAACAAGGAAAAAAAAAAAGCAACTGAAATCCAATATAGATTATTAGAGATCTTGTTTAGGAATAGCATTTCTCAGGGATTTATCCAGTGTGTTCAAGAAAAGGGAGAAACACCCCCATCGCTTCTGCTCTCAACCAGTGCTGCATGGCCTGTTTTGCCCAAGTGTGTTTAAGTGTAGCAGTGTTAGGTCCAAATTTAGAGCACTGGGACAACATTTTGTCCGCCACCCTCAGYCTCCCTTACCCACTTTCTTTTTCCTTTAAAAATCCCCCAAACCTATATGTACTTTGGGATATGAAAATCGCTGTATAAACCCTTTGAAATGCTGGATAAATCCCTAATCCATATACCTACAGGATTAAAAACCTAATGGACTTCATTTTAGGTGTTCTGGACAACAAATTTCTAAATGTAGCTCACTATTGGATGAAAATAACCTTTAAAAGTCTGTTGGTGAAGTTCTTCAAAAGACAGGACCGCTGGAGGGTCCTTCTGCTTCTCTCTTTCTCTCTAGTTTGGTGCAGAATGGTTGGTTTTTTGTGGTTTTATTTTTTTTTTCTGTTCTTTTTTTCCATTTTCTTTTTTTTTTTTTTTTNTTTTAAATAAAAATCGCAGAATCGGTTTTCCCCCTTCTTTCCTCTTTTTCTTTTCTTCCTTAAAGTCTCCTTCGTTCAAGTTTCACACGAGCCTCCCATTGCATTGTTAGTTTGTCACGTTCTTCAATACAAAAGCGGCTGCCTCACTCCCCCCGGGATGGGTGCGTCTCTCGCTCTTTATTCCAGTGTTTAGATGTAAGGGTACTGGTTGACCTTGGTGGGGCTCAGCGGGTATCCAGTGTAGACTGTGGAGGCTGGAGAAGCACTGATATAGGTCTGATGGGCAAACTGAGCCTGGTACTGACTCGGGTGGATGGTGGGCGAGGGCAGGACGCGCGGGCCCATGCTGACAGGCACCTGGTGGACGATGCTGGCGGGGTAGGTGGTGTGCTGCACCGCGTGCCGGGCGGAGCCTTGCGAGGCCACCAAGTGCGCGACGGTGCCCGTGGARCCCAGGGCGGCGGGGGCGGTGTATGTGTACAGGTGGGGCTGCGTGGGCAGGTGAGCGGCGGCGGCCGCGGCCAGGTGAGGATGAACCGTGCCGTGGCTGGGGCTATTGTGCGGGAAAGAGTACGGGGCCTGAGCTATCGTTGGAGTGATGTAGGCTTGCTGTCTCCGGTGACTCCCTGTGCGGTCGCTCGAGATGTGCTGCTGGGCCTGGATAAAGACAGCAACAGTGACAGGCAGTTACAAGACGAGAGATGGCTCTTTACTTCCTCTTTACTTCCCTAAACCTCCCTGCAACACCAGGACACCCTCAGAAAAGTCTCCTGAGCCGCTCCCGACACCCTCAGCACTGCCAGTCTTCCCTTGGACACGAGTGACAGCAGTGGGTCCCTCAYTAGCCTAGGAAGACCCTGTAGTTTCATTCTTTGACCAAAATTACCTCCAGAAGGTCAACTAGTCCCCTAGTTTGAGCTCCACCCTGCTGACACAGCTACCAAAAGACACAGCCTTGGATGCCCAGCTCCCAAGAACATCTTCCACWAGTCCGGTTGCTCAGGCAACACATGGTTTTTGTAAGCGAACTAGGATGATAAATTGTGGTGCCACAGATCACTCAGGAGAATGAAATTGCCTAGCTGTGCCCGGAAGAGGCAATTTATTTTTGCTCAGTTTGGGTATTTGCAGTTAATAATTTCCTTGGTTAGTAAAAATAACCAYGTTATTTTTTAAAGAGAAAACCCTCAGCTTGATTAGATGCTGCAGGTGCCTGATGCCCTCATGTAATCAGCTGAAATTACTTGAGCAGAGCCAACTTCTAGCAGCGAGATGGGAGCAATGTTCTTTTTTTCCCAGGGATTTTCTAAGTTGTTTTCTTGCATTACACAAAAATGTAAGGAGTTTTCCCAGTCATTTGTAGTCAGAGTATTAAATTACCAATGAAGTAGGAATTAGAAGACAAGAAGGAAAATGCTCCATGCTATTTCCTTCTATTCTTCCAAACCTTTTCATTTTTTTGAAAGCACTCTCTGTGCTGTTACTGTGATCTGAAATACRGCAGCCACACTTCTCCCCAACTCTTGCAAACAGGATCTTGCTCATTGCTTCCTCCATTTTCACACACTCTTATTTCAAGCTTATTCACATTTTTAAATTTTCCTTACATATTGAGGGAGAAAAGACACTCTTTTCCACCAAGTTATTTTTCTTTTCAAAAGCAGTTCTGCTTGTATCCAGCTCTGGGTGCACACCAGCGCTGAGSTCTCCAGACTTTCTCCTCTTGAAACACTGGTAACTGAGCTGTAGCTTCCTTACCCTTGTCAAATCACCTCAGGGAAGAGAGAGGTGCCAGGTGCAGGATGTGAAAAGGGAATTATTTCCTGCAGCTCCTGGAGTGCTCCCTGGGAGTTCTGATGACAGACTGTAAAATGTCTTAAGAAGTGCATGGTGCCAAAAAATGGGATTTGTCCAGATCCCAGCCTAGCTTTATCACAGGATGGATCTAACTCATTAAATGAGATCACAWATATACATAGAGGCTCTGCCTTGCCTTGTCCCAACTGATGGGGACTTCTCTCCCAGTCCCACAGCCAGGCTCACGGACTCTTTTCACTTGGAAGACGTTCTCCCCATGGTTACTCACAACTAAGGAGAATTCAGTCCTTCCTACGTGCTCCTGCTCCACTCCTTCGTGGCTGAGCCACTGCACTTCCCCTCTCTGTTATTCCCACTCACACTGTTAGACTACCAGACTTCAGAACACRCAGGAATTGTACCCCCAGCCCACTCAGGGGTGTGATCTGCACTACCTCGGCTGTCTGAGCTGGAAGATCAAAGTCTGCAGTCAAGTAGAAATAAGTTGATCAAACTCAACAGGGGGTCCAACTATCACTAGACTGGAACAGGACAGCCCGTGATGGAGGAGTGCAGCTAACAGCTGGATGATGCATCACCAAAATAAGTCTTGGTTGACTTACCTGACTCAGATTAAGAGGCTGCTGCTGCTGGAAATGTGCTCCTGGTCGCTGCTGCCTATAGGCAACGGCTCCAGACGAGCTCCCTGAAGAGTGACCGCTGGTGGAGGTCACGGTGCTGGAGGACTTGGACTTGTAGGAGGATGAGTGGTGACTGGTGGTGACTGTGCCAGGAAAGGAAACACATTTGTAGCTTACATGACATTCTTTCATTGCTCACCCTACCTTTTCMTCACCGAGTCTCCTCCAGAGTGGCTTTTGGGAGGAGACATACAACAGAAGCAGGTTAAGAAAACTTTGTCTCAATTAACAGAACACCTCAGCAGGATTTCACACACATGACCAGCCTGTTATCCTAGAGGCAGACAAGCAGACCTGATTAACTGGACCCAAAGAACCTGGAGAAGGTTTTAGATCTCCTTCGGAACCATGAGACAATGTTCTGCCAGCACAACTGTACAACGCAGGTACAAATCCCAAGCAGAGGAAGAAAAGTATGGTGTGCACAGCATAAAAAAACCCTGGCTGGCCTAACRTCAGGTGGGTGGGAAGGGAGGGAGAAGATGCTGGTGGGAAGCTCACCCTTTGAGCCTTTGCCTTCACCAGCAGTGCGTCCAAAGCAAGGACGGYCAAGTAGCTCAAAGCCAACTGCTTTGGGCCAGACTTCCACCATAAAGCCCTTTTCAACACATCCTACTATCTAGCATTGCAGCGCTTCTGGAGGAGCAATCCTCATCAGTCCACAAGGAAGATCCTGAGGAAATRTTCTTCCCAGAAATGTCAACAAGTCTGGATGAAAATTCACATGTGTTTTCAATCTCTTACCCGTTTTAAAGGAAGCCTTTGGAAAGGCAAGGCAGCAAAGGTTCACACTTGCATTTGGGAGCCTTTCATGTCAAATGTTGAGCTAAAGGCTGCGTTCTGTCCTTGGGTCTGTACAGAACTAACTGGGACCGACACTTTGCCCCTGTGACCCCTGAGTGAACCAGGGAACACAAATAATGCAATATGGCTACCAAGAACAGATGTGTCACTTGAGAGMAGTGCAGGAGCACAGTTTCTTTGGAAAACAAACAAACCAACCAAMCAAACAAAATGAAACTGAACAATGAGATTCTTCCAAGATAAATCATTTATTTCTTACTAATTTTCTTGACGGAAGAGGTGCAATTTACCTGGCGCCAGGCTATCGCACTCTACCAACACCTCACTGGCCTGGGTTTTCAGTGGTGGCACGATGATCGTTCGGGGGTTCCCACTGCAGTGAGTCTCTGGAACCCCTTTGGTGTCGTAGCTGTTCCCGTTATTCTGCCCTGTGCGATGCTGCACGGCGTAAGGGCTGTTGTTGCTGGAGGAATCGGAGTAGGGGGAGTCATGCACGGTGACACAGCTGATGACATTCTTCCTTTGCTTGGACAAGGTGCTGCAACACAAGCAGACAA